TAGCACGAAATTTGTGATGGTACTCCTTTGGAATCTGCCAAATATTGACCCTGAATAAATCCGCCCAAATCGGTGCTTAATGGACTTAATCGTCGTTGAAGAATAGCCTCAGGCGGAATCTGTGATTTGTAACCTTCAAAATCCAAAGAAAAATGGCCTTTCGTCGTCCAAAAAATTACGAAAATGTCATCCAAAGATAAATAGGCCCAAATCGGTGGTTAATGGACTTATCATCTGCCGAGAATAGGATCAATAGAATTCATTATTGGTGGAGAATAGCCTTGGCCTGATTTCATGATTTGTAGCCTCCAAAATCAAAAGAAAATGGCATTTCGGAAAAATCGCCCAAAATCTCTGATGGTACCCCTTTGGAATGTGCCAAAAATTGACCCAGAATAGATCCACCCAAATTGGTGCTTAATGGACTTAATCGTCGTTGAAGAATAGCCTCAGGCCGAATCTGTGATCTGTAGCCTTCAAAATCCAAAGAAAATGGCCTTTCGTCGGCCAAAAAATTGCGAAAATTACATCCGAAGTTGAATTGGACCAAATTGGTGCTTCAAGGAGTTATCATCCATATGGAATAGGATCAATAGACTTCATTATGGGTGGAGAATAGCCTTGGCCTGATTTCGTGATCTGTAGCCTCCAGAATCGAAAGAAAATGACATTTCGGAAAAATCGCCCAAATTCTATGATGGTACCCATTTGGAATGTGCCAAAAATTGACCGGATATAAATCTGCCCAAATCGGTGCTTAATGGACTTAATCAACGTTGAAGATTAGCCTCATGCAGACACCGTGATCTGTAGCCTTCAAAATCCAAAGAAAATGGTTTTTTGTCGTCCAAAAAATTACGAAAATGCCATCCGAATATAAATAGGCCCAAATCGGTGGTTAATGGACTTATCATCTGTCGAGAATAGGATCAATACACTTCATTATCAGTGGAGAATAACCTCGGCCTGATTACGTGATCTATCGCCTCCATAAACGAAAGAAAATGGAATTTCATAGAAATAGCACGAACTCTGTGACGGTACCACTTTGGAATCTGCCAAAAATTGACCAGGAATAACTCCGCCCAAATCGGTACTTAATGGACTTAATCGTCGTTGAAGAATAGCCTCAGGCCGAATCTGTGATCTGTCGCCTTCAAAATCCAAAGAAAATGGCCTTTCGTTGTCCAAAAAATTACGAAAATGTCATCCAAAGATAAATAGGCCCAAATCGGTGGTTAATGGACTTATCATCTATCGAGAATAGGATCAATAGACTTCATTATTGGTGGAGAATTACCTCGGCCTGATTACGCGATCTGTAGCCTCCAAAATCGAAAGAAAATGGAATTTCGGAAAAATAGCACGAAATATGTGATTGTACCCCTTTGGAATCTGCCAAATATTGACCGGGAATAAATCCTCCCAAACCGGTGCTTAATGGGCTTAATTAACTTTGAAGAATAGCCTTAGGCCGAATCCGTGATCTGTAGCCTTCAAAATCCAAAGAAAATGGTCTTTGGTCGCCCAAAAAATTAAGAAAAATGTCATCCAAATTTAAATTGGCCCAAATCAGTGCTTAATGGATGTATCATCTATCAAGAATAGGATCAATAGACTTCATTATCACTGGAAAATAACCTGGCGTGATTACGTGATCTATAGCCTTCATAATCGAAAGAAAATGGAATTTCGGAAAAATAGAACGAAATCTGTTATGGTACTCTTTTGCAATATGCCAAGAATTGACCCTGAATAAATCCGCCCAAATCGGTGCTTAATGGACTTAATCGTCGTTGAAGAATAGCCTCAGGCCGAATTTTTGATCTGTAGCCTTCAAAATCCAAAGAAAATGGCCTTTCGTCGTCCAAAAAATTACAAAAATGACATCCAAAGATAAATAGGCCCAAATAAGTGGTTAATGGACTTATCATCTACCGAGAATAGGATCAATACACTTCATTATCGGTGGAGAATTGCTTTGACCTGATTCCGTGATCTGTAGCCTCCAAAATCGAAAGAAAATGGCGTTTCTATTAAATCGCGCAAAATCTGTGATGGTACCCCTTTGGAATGTGCCAAAAACAGACCCGAAATAGATCCGCCCAAATTGGTGCTTAATGGACTTAATCGTCGTTGAAGAATAGCCTCAGGCCGAATATGTGTCTATAGCTTTTAAAATCCAAAGGAAATGGCCTTTCGTCGGCCAAAAATTGTGAAAATTACATCCGAATATGAATTGGCCCAAATTGGTGCTTAAAGGACTTATCATTCATCCAAAATAGGATCAATAGACTTCATTATCGGTGGACAATAGCCTTGTCCTGATTCCATGATCTGTAGCATCCAGAATCGAAAGAAAATGGCATTTCGGAAAAATCGTCCAAAATTTATGATGGTACCCCTTTGGAATGTGCCAAAAATTGACCCGAAATAAATCTGCCCAAATCTGTGCTTAATGAACTTAATCAACGTTGAAGAATAGCCTCATGCCGAATCTGTGATCTGTAGCCTTCAAAATACAAAGAAAATGGCCTTTCGTCGTCCAAAAAATTACGAAAATGACATCCAAAGATAAATAGGCCCAAATCAGTGGTTAATGGACTTATCATCTGCCAAGAATAGGATCAATACACTTCATTATCGGTGGAGAATTGCTTTGACCTGATTCCGTGATCTGTAGCATCCAGAATCGAAAGAAAATGACATTTCGGAAAAATCGTCCAAAATTTATGATGGTACCCCTTTGTAATGTGCCAAAAATTGACCCGAAATAAATCTGCCCAAATCTGTGCTTAATGAACTTAATCAACGTTGAAGAATAGCCTCATGCCGAATATGTGATCTGTAGCCTTCAAAATCCAAAGAAAATGGTCTTTTGTCGTCCAAAAAATTACGAAATTGTCATCCAAAGATAAATAGGCCCAAATTGGTGGTTAATGGACTTATCATCTGTCGAGAATAGGATCACTAGACTTCATTATTGGTGGAGAATAACCTCGGCTTGATTACGTGATCTGTAGCCTCCAAAATCGAAAGAAAATGGAATTTCGGAAAAATAGCACGAAATCTGTGATTGTACCCCTTTGGAATCTGCCAAATAATCACCAGGAATAAATCCTCCCAAACCGGTGCTTAATGGGCTTAATTAACTTTGAAGAATAGCCTCAGGCCGAATCCGTGATCTGTAGCCTTCAATATCCAAAGAAAATGGTCTTTGGTCGCCCAAAAAATTATGAAAAATGTCATCCGAATATAAATTGGCCCAAATCAGTAATTAATGGATGTATCATCTATCGAGAATAGGATAAATAGAATTCATTATCAGTGGAAAATAACCTCGGCCTGATTACGTGATCTATAGCCTCCATAATCGAAAAAAATGGAATTTCGGAAAAATAGCACGAAATCTGTGATAGGTACTCCTTTGCAATATGCCAAAAATTGACCCTGAATAAATCCGCCCAAATTAGTGCTTAATGGACTTAATCGTCGTTGAAGAATAGCCTCAGGCCGAATCTGTGATCTGTAGCCTTCAAAATCCAAAGAAAATGGCCTTTCGTCGTCCAAAAAATTACGAAAATGACATCCAAAGATAAATAGGCCCAAATCAGTGGTTAATGGACTTATCATCTACCGAGAATAGGATCAATACACTTTATTATAGGTGGAGAATTGCTTTGACCTGATTCCGCGATTTGTAGCCTCCAAAATGGAAAGAAAATGGCATTTCGAAAAAATCGCCTTTTGGAATGTGCCAAAAATAGACCCGGAATATATTCGCCCAAATTGGTTCTTAATGGACTTAACCGTTGTTGAAGAATAGCCTCAGGCCGAATATGTGATGTGTAGCCTTTAAAATCCAAAGAAAATGCCCTTTCATCGGCCAAAAATTGCGAAAATTACATCCGAATATGAATTGGCCTAAATTGGTGCTTAAAGGACTTATCATTCATCCAAAATAGGATCAATAGACTTCATTATCGGTGGAGAATAACCTTGTCCTGATTCCATGATCTGTAGCATCCAGAATCGAAAGAAAATGGCATTTCGGAAAAATCGTCCAAAATTTATGATGGTACCCCTTTGGAATGTGCCAAAAATTGACCCGAAATAAATCTGCCCAAATCTGTGCTTAATGAACTTAATCAACGTTGAAGAATAGCCTCATGCCGAATCTGTGATCTGTGGCCTTCAAAATCCAAAGAAAATGGTCTTTTGTCGTCCAAAAAATTACGAAAATGCCATGCAAAGATAAATAGGCCCAAATTGGTGGTTAATGGACTTATAATCTGCCGAGAATAGGATCAATAGAATTCATTATTGGTGGCGAATAACCTCGGCCTGATTACGTGATCTGTAGCCTCCAAAATCCAAAGAAAATGGAATTTCGGAAAAATAGCACGAAATCTGTGATGGTACCCCATTGGAATCTGCCAAATATTGACCCGGAATAAATCCTCCCAAATCGGAGCTTAATGGGCTTAATTAACTTTAAGAATAGCCTCAGGACGGATCCGTGATTTGTAGCCTTCAAAATACAAAGAAAATGGTCTATCGTCGCCCAAAAAATTACGAAAAATGTCATCCGAAGATAAATTGGCCCAAATCAGTGCTTAATGGATTTATCATCTATTGAGAATAGGATCAATAGACTTCATTATCAGTGGAGAATAACCTCGGTCTGATTACGTGATCTATAGCCTCCATAATCGAAAGAAAATAGAATTTCGGAAAAATAGCACGAAATCTGTGATGGTACTCCTTTGCAATATGCCAAAAATTTCCCTGGAATAAATCCGCCCAAATCGGTGCTTAATGAACTTAATCGTCGTTGTATAATAGCCTCAGGCCGAATCTGTTATCTGTAGCCTTCAAAATCCAAAGAAAATGGCCTTTCGTCCTACAAAAAATTGCGAAAATTACATCCGAAGATGAATTGGCCCAAATGGGTGCTTAAAGGACTTATCATCCATCCTGAATAGGCTCAATAGACTTCCGTCTCGGTGGAGAATAGTCGTGGCCTGATTCCATGATCTATCGCCTCCAGAATCGAAAGAAAATGGCATTTCGGAAAAATCGCCCACAATCTGTGATGGTAACCCTTTGGAATGTCCCAAAAATTGACACGAAATAAATCTGACAAATCGGTGCTTAATGGACTTAATCAACGTTGAAGAATAGCCTCAGGCCGAATCCGTGATTCGTAGCATTCAAAAACCAAAGAAAATGGTTTTTCGTAGGCAAAAAAATTACGAAAAATGGCATCCGAAGATAAATTGGCCCAAATCGGTGCTTTATGGACTTATCATCTGTCGAGAATAGGATCAATACACTTCATTATCAGTGGAGAATAGCCTCGGCCTAATTACGATATTTGTAGTCTCCATAATCAAAAGATAATGGAATTTCGGAAAAATAGCACGAAATCTGTGATGGTACCCCTTTGGAATCTACTCAAAATTGACCTGGAATAAATCCTCCCAAATCGGTACTGAATGGACTTAATCGTCGTTGAAGAATAGCTTCAGGCCAAATCAGTGATATGTAGCCTTCAATATCTAAAGAAAATGGTCTTTCGTCGCCTAAAAAATTACTAAAATGTCATTCGAAGATAAATTGGCCCAAATTGATGCTTAATGGACTTATCATCTATCGAGAATAGGATTAATACATTTCATTATCTATGGAGAAAAGTCTCGGCCTGATTACGTGATCTGTAGTCTCCATAATCGAAAGAAAATGGAATTTCGGAAAAATAGCACGAAATCTGTGATGGTACCCTTTTGGAATATGCCAAAATTTGACCTGGAATAAATCCGCCCAAATCGGTACTGAATGGACTTAATTTTCGTTGAAGAATAGCTTCAGGCCAAATCAGTGATCTGTAGTCTTCAATATCTAAAGAAAATGGTCTTTCGTCGCCTAAAAAATTACTAAAATATCATTCGAAGATAAATTGGCCCAAATCGATGCTTAATTGACTTATCATCTATCGAGAATAGGATCAATACACTTCATTATCTATGGAGAAAAGCCTCGGCCGTATTACGTGATCTGTAGTCTCCATAATCGAAAGAAAATGGATTTTCGGAAAAATAGCACGAAATCTGTGATGGTACCCCTTTGGAATATGCCAAAATTTTGATTTGGAATAAATCCGCCCGAATCGGTGCTTAATGTACTTAATCGTCGTTGAAGAATTGCCTCAGGCCAATCCGTGATCTGTAGCCTTCAAAATCCAAACGAAATGGCATTTCGTCACCCAAAAAATTGCAAAAATTCCATCTGAAGATGAATTGGACCAAATTGGTGCTTCCAGGAGTGATCATCCATATGGAATAGGATCAATAGACTTCATTATCGGTCGAGAATAGCCTTGGCCTTTTGTCGCCCAAAAAATTACGAAAATGGTATCCGAAGATAAATTTGCTCAAATCGGTGCTTAATGGACTTATCGTTCATTGAGAATAGAATCAATAGACGTCATTATCGGTTGAGAATAGCCTCTGTCTAATTCTACGATCTGTGGCCTCTAGAATCGTAAGAAAATGTTATTTCGGAAAAATCTCTCAAAATCTGTGATGTTAGCCCTTTGGAATCAGTCAAAAAGTGACTTGGAATAAATCCGCCCAAATCGGTGCTTAATGGACTTAAGCATCGTTGAAGAATAGCCTCAGGCCGAATCCGTGAAATATAGCCATCAAAATCCAAATAAAATGGTCTTTCGTTGCACAAAGATTTACGAAAATGCCATCCGAAAATAAATTGCCCGAAATCGGTGATTAATGGACTTATCATCAGTCGATATAGGATCAATATACTTAATTATCGGTGGTGAATCGCATCGATCTAATTGAGTGTTCTGTAGCCTCCAGAATCGATAGAAAATGGTAGTTCGGAAAAATCGCCCGAAATATGTGATGGTACCCCTTTGGAATCTACCAAAAATTGACCCGGAATAAATCCAACCAAATCGGTGCTTAATGGACTTAATCAATGTTGAAGAATAGCCTTAGGAAGAATACGTGATCTGTAGCCATCAAAAACCAAAAAAATGGCCGTTCGTCGCCCAAAAAATTACGAAAATGCCATCAGAAGATAAATTGGCCCAAATCGGTGCTTAATAGACTTATCATTTGTCGGGAATAGGATCAATACACTTCATTATCTGTGGAGAATAACCTCAGCCTGATTACGTAATATGTAGCCTCCATAATCGAAAGAAAATAGAATTTTGGAAAAATAGCACGAAATCTGTGATGGTACTCCTTTGCAATATGCCAAAAATTGACCTGGAATAAATCCGCCCAAATCGGTGCTTAATGGACTTAATCGTCGTTGAAAAATAACCTCAGGCCGAATCAAAGATCTGTAGCCTTCAATATCCAAAGGAAATGGTCTTTCACCGCCTAAAAAATTACTAAAACGCCATCCGAAGATAAATTGGCACAAATCAGTGCTTGATGGACTTATCATCTGTCTAGAATAGAATCAATAGACTTCATTATCTGTGAAGAATAGAATCGGCTTGATTACGTGATCTGTAGCCTCCATAATCGAAAGAAAATGGAATTTTGGAAAAATAGCACGAAATCTGTGATGGTACCCATTTGAAATCTGCCAAAAATTGACCTAGAATAAATCCCCCCAAATCGGTGCTTAATGGACTTAATCGTCGTTGAAGAATAGCATCAGGCCGAATCTGTGATCTGTAGCCTTCAAAATCCAAAGAAAATCGCCTTTCGTCGTCAAAAAATTACGAAAATGCCATCCAAAGATAAATAGGCCAAAATCGGTGGTTAATGGACTTATCATCTGTCGAGAATAGGATCAATAGATTTCATTATCAATGGATAATAACCTCGGCTTGATTACGTGATCTATAGCCTCCATAATCGAAAGAAAATGGAATTTCGGAAAAATAACACGAAATCTGTGATGCTTGGAATCTGCCAAAACTTGACCTGGAATAAATCCGCCCAAATTGGTGCTTAATGAACTTAATATTCATTGAAGAATAGCCTCGGGCCAAATCTGTGATGTGTAGCCTTCAAAATCCAAAGAAAATGGCCTTTCGTCGCCCAAAAAATTGCGAAAATTACATCTGATTATGAATTGGCCCAAATTGGTGCTTAAAGGATTTATCATCCATCCAGAATAGGATCAATAGACTTCATTATCGGTGGAGAATAGCTTTGGCCTGATTCCATTATCCTGTAGCCTCCAGAATCGTAAGAAAATGGCATTTCGGAAAAATCGCCCAAAATCTGTGATGGTACCCCTTTGGATTGTGCCAAAAATTGACCCGAAATAAATCTGCCCAAATTGGTGCTTAATGAACTTAATCAACGTTGAAGAATAGTCTCATGCTGAATCTGTGATCTGTAGCCTTCAAATCCAAAGAAAATGGTCTTTTGTCGTCCAAAAAATTGCAAAAATGCCATGCAAAGATAAATAGGCCATTCGGTGGTTAATGGACTTATCATCTGTCGAGAATAGGATCAATAGACTTCATTATTGGCGGAGAATAACCTCGGCCTGATTATGTGATCTGTAGCCTCCAAAATCGAAAGAAATTAGAATTTCGGAAAAATAGCACGAAATCTGTGATGGTACCCCTTTGGAATCTGCCAAAAATTGATCTGGAATAAATCCACCCAAATCGGTGCTTAATGGATTTAATCGTCGTTGAAGAATAGCCTCAGGCGGAATATGTGATCTATAGCCTTAAAAATCCAAAGAAAATGGCCTTTCGTCACCCAAAAAATTGTGAAAATGCCATCCAATAATAAATTGGCCCAAATCGGGGCTTAATTGACTTATCATCCGTCGAGAATAGGATCATTATAAATCATTATAAGTGGAGAATAGCCTTGGCCTGATTCCATGATCAATAGCCTCTGGAATCGAAAGAAAATGACATTTCGGAAAAATCGCCCAAAATCTGTGATGGTACCCCTTTGGAATGTGCCAAAAATTGACACGAAATAAATCTGCCAAATCGGTGCTTAATGGACTTAATCAACGTTGACGAATAGCCTCAGGCGCGAATCCGTGATCCGTAGCCTTCAAAAACCAAAGAAAATGGTTTTTCGTCGCCCAAAAAATTACGAAAAATGCCATCCGAAGATAAATTGGCCCAAATCGGTGCTTAATGGACTTATCATCTGTCGAGAATAGGATCAATGCACTTCATTATCTGTGGAGAATAGCCTCGGCCTAATTACGATATTTGTAGTCTCCATAATCGAAAGAAAATGGAATTTCGGAAAAATAGCACGAAATCTGTGATGGTACCCCTTTGGAATCTACCATAAATTGACCTGGAATAAATCCGGCCAAATCGGTGCTTAATGGACTTAATGGTTGTTGAAGAATAGCCTCAGGCCAAATCAGCGATCTGTAGCCTTCAATATCTAAAAAAAAATGGTCTTTCGCCGCCTAAAAAATTACTAAAATGTCATTCGAAGATAAATTGGCCCAAATCGGTGCTTAATGGACTTACTTAAAACAACAATCACTTGACTTAGTTGGCTAGATAATAGATAATCACGGAGTAAGCACTAGATCTAGACCCCGGGTTGATAATAGAACTTGCCACTTTACTGCATTCCCAGACTGCGATTACACTTGGTCGCAGTTTGGTGTTGTGTTTTGGCGTGTCAAGTTTTTGGCGCCGTTGCCGGGGACTTTCTAGATTATTAGGAAAGGCAGAAGTTTGTTACTTTAGCGTTTTTCTTTTGTTTTCCGCCCTTGCTTTTCACTTGGGTGTTTTTTTTTTTGTTTTTTTTTTGTGCTGATCTGAATCATGGACCCTCATGGCTTCTCCAATCATTGGGGGTATCCACCACCATCCGAGTGGTATTACCCCGAGAATCCCTGGAGTAACCAAGGAGGAGAAGACTATGGAGTCGGGTTTCAGTACCAACCCCCCTACTACGAAGAACAATCAGACCCCTGGGTATTTCAAGAACAATCTCCTTATCAAGAAGAATTCCTCCCACAACAAGAAGGACCATCAGATCTTGGGTTTGCCACAGCCTTCACGGACGATCCGGCAGAGCCATGCTACACTCCACAACCAGATCCAAACTATCACTTGAGGCTTCTCGTGGAGCAGATTGCTCGAGTACCTGAGAGATCCTTTCCCGAGATGGATCCTCATATCCAGGCCATTTCCCAAACTGACTTCTCATTTCCCCATGAAATAGAGGATACCCTTCGGAGCATAAAGGAGCACATAGAGGTCATTGAGAAAGCCTGTTCACAGTTTTCTCAAGACAACCTTTATGCTGCCATACAAGTAGAGGTGGAGGAAGAAGAAGGCAATCATGAGGATGTTGAGGAGCATACAGAAGTTGTCAAGGAAAGCTCCCATGATAATCATGATCAAGTGTATTCTCTGGTGGTAGATCACAACTTTTCCCATTTCCACTCTGACATGCTGGGCCCGAGCGAGGAGATGCAAGCTGAACTTATTGAGAACCTTGCATGGCGACTTGCTCTCCAATCAGTTATGGAAGAAGAAGAGAGAGAAAGGGTGAGGAAAGAAGTTGTGGAGGATGAGGAAGAAAGCAAAGAAGAGGTAATTCTTGATCTTTTTCGAGGAGAGAGACCACATTTTGAAGAAGGAAGGGGGGTTGAAGAAGCGAGTGGTGTCCAGGCTGAGGATGAAGTTGAGGTGGAAGAGGCTTGCACCGGCCCTATAATACAAGTAATATCCCCACCAAACTTCGAGGAACTGCTTAGCAAGGACCCATTTGCAGTGTCTCTTTGCCAGACCAAGGCCACATCGACATCGGTCCCTCTTGGTGGACGCGATGGTGGCCAATCGATGTTGTCATATATGGTTTGGGGCAATGAGACAAGAGAAGAGAAGAAGAGGTCTCGAGGATGGAGGCTTCATCTGCATCAAGTGCACGAGCTTCCATCACCAGTCATACCACATGCTCGTGACTTGCGACTCCACCTCATTGACGAGAACCTCAACTTCAAGGAGGTTCTAGCATGGACCGAAACTTAGGAGCCATCGTCTGGCTCACGACGTGAAAGAAGCGCTTGTTGGGAGGCAACCTAACCAGTCGGTTTGCATTTCTCTCTCTATTTCTCCTCGGTTGAGTCAGTTTTGTTATTTGATTTTAGAGTCAATAACTCAACCTTTGTGAGATTTTGTGTGGTGTTTGCGTTCTGATTACTCTCTCTTCCTGGAATGCACCGCCTGACCCGTCCATCATCATTCACCCTTTATTTGGTAACTTCGTTCTACCCTCCTTATCTTTCCTCCATTGAGGACAATGTCGTGCTTAAGTGTGGGGGGTGTTCGATTATGTATGCGGGTGAATGTTTGGCTGTTTGTGTGCTTGGAGCCTAGTCCATTTTCCAAATTTTTAAATTTGAGGGCTCCAAGTACGTGTTTCCTTGCAAATTGCCTGCTCAGTATGCTTTGAATCGACTTCTATATAGTAATGTGCAACCTAGGGAGGTAGTGTAGCACTATGGAGGATGTTGAAGTATAAGATTTTTCCTATCTAGCTCTCTGTTGTGCCAGTTGATTTTGTGAATTAGTGGAGCTAAGACTGTTGAATTCATGTGGTAATGGTGACTTTGTTTGGATTGTGTTATGGACTCATGTATCGAACAGGGTGCTCATATGTAAAATGGGAAGCAGTTGGTCCTCCATGTCGAAATCATTGAAATCTTAAACATGGGGTACGCCCAACGTGTGTGGCACCGTTCATTGCACAAAATCGGGTTTTGGAAGAGATTTTAGTGATCCTTAGTGGGGTACTCCTACAAGGTGAAGCTAAGCTGTCCCTAGTACAAGTAAAATTTTCACCCGTTGAACGGTTTGCCTACTTGAGGATGTGTTTTTAAGGGCACGGATAGAGCCTCCGACCCCCCTTGATTTCATTGACCCTCCACACGAGTTGAGGAAAAGGAGTTAAAAGAAGTACTCTGGCGAGCGTTAGATGTACAAAAATTGCTCTTGCTCGACTAATAAGGGTCGACCGTGCAAAAGACTGCAGTTGGAACCCCCGCCAAGTGAATGAAGAAAAAAAAGAGAAAAAGAAATGTAAATGAAAGTGTAAAAAGGGGTTCCAACGGTGAAATGAAGTGAAAGAGCACCCAGGTACAATGAGTCCTTGGTTGTGAATGGTGTGAGTCCCTTTGTCCATGAACTGACTGTCTTACTTCTACTTCTTCTCATGTTCCTGACTTGAGTCTAGTATTCGCATTGAGAGAGATAGGGGACGTCTTAGAAGACCAGTTGACCTTGTAAGCTGCTATATGATTTAGGAAATCCTCTACCAACGATCAGGGTTGTTTGTTTCTATAGAGGTCTGGAGAGCTGCATTGGTTTGAGTTAGGTTTGCTTGGGGACAAGCAAACAGTTAAGTGTGGGGGGATTTGATGACTCGGTATTTGCACATGTTTTCCCCTTTGTTTCTTGAATGTTTGAGCTTGAATTATTGCGTCTTTGTCCTATTTTATGCTAGGTTGTGTTCCTTTGTCACATTTCAGGTCCTATCACATAAAGTGAAGCATAGGAGCAAGTTTCAAATCAATCAGAGATCAATTGACGATTCGGGAGAAGAAACTCGGGCATGACCTGAAGAAGAATGGATTTATACCTGACTTTATGGACAAAGAATCATGAAATATTGTCATGAAAAGAAAGAGGACGAGACTACGAGTGTCTGGGATCAAACGGGGACTGATTCGGAGTCCGGACGAGGGAGAAACGAAGCATTAAACAGAGGCTGAGCAAGCCACACGGGCATCCTGGAACTCCACACGGCCGTGTGGGTCGTGGCCGTGTGGAAATCACCGAGCCTTCACACGGGCAGCTGGGAAAGCCACACGGCCGTGTGGCCTGCCCGTGTGGTCGGGATTTTCTGGTTTTTACCCAATTTTGGCCACAAGTGAGAGAATCGAATTTTCAGAGCAAAAACAGAGCCCTAGAGAGAGAAAGTACGAAGAACACATCCTAGAAGCAATCTTGGAGCTGGATTTCATCAAGTCGAGCTTGGAGATCGTCATATGAGTGGAAATCATCATCCTAGAGCAGATTCTTCCCATTTTTATGAGTATGACTGCTTTGTATTCTATTTTCCTCTCTCTCTCTCTATGGAGTAGAACCCTTCTCTCACTTGGGTATGAAGAACCCTAGTTCCATGTGTTAGGGATTTGATTGTAATGACTTGGGATGATTATACTGTTTGATTTTAATCAAATGATGCATGTTTTATTGAATTGATTAAAGTCTGATTAGCTTTTCTTGATTTCTGCTGCAACATGAGATAGATAGAATCTGATTAGGTTGTTACAGCTTCTTCATTCGTTAGTAGGAGATTGGCTATACGAGAGTTAGCCAGTTTACTGCTTTGTACTGGAATCCAATTCCAGTGGTGGAGTTCTGTGCTTATTGCTTCAGCTTTCTATCCCGGTGAAGACTAGTCGTTTGCCGGGTAGTTAGACTGAGAGGGCTTGGTCAGTTTAAGAGATTCCAAGCTACTGTCGGATCTTCCGCAATCTAATCAACAGTAAATCAACCCAGGGTAATTACAATTGAGACCTAACTAAGGAGCTAGGGGGACTCATTCCCGAGTGACTCTTCTTTGCTTGAGAAAACCGAACCAATTCCTGCTTTCTTAGCGTATCAGCTATTCTCCACCGATAATAAAGTCTATTGATCCTATTCTGCGCCGATGATTAAGTCATTTAAGCACCGAATTGGGCCAATATATTTTGGGATGGCATTTTCGTAATTATTTGATCAATTTTTTTTGAAAGGCCATTTTCCTTGGATTTTGAAGGATAAAGATGGTGGATTCGGCCAGAGGCTATTCTTCAACGACGATTAAGTCCATTCAGGGCCAATTTGGGCGGATTTCTTCCGGGTCCATTTTTGGCAGACTCCAAAGGGGTACCATCACAGATTTCGGGCGATTTTTCCGAAATGCCATTTTCTTTCGATTTTGGAGGCTACAGATCACGGATTTGGCTCGAGGCTATTCTCCACTGATAATAAAGTCTGTTGATCCTATTCTGCGCCGATGATTAAGTCAATTAAGCACCGAATTCGGCCAATATATTTTGGGATGGCATTTTCGTAATTATTTGAGCATTTTTTTTTTGAAAGGCCATTTTCCTTGGATTTTGAAGGATAAAGATTGTGGATTCGGCCTGAGGCTATTCTTCAACGACGATTAAGTCCATCCAGGGCCAATTTGGGCGGATTTCTTCCGGGTCCATTTTTGGCAGACTCAAAAGGGGTACCATCACATATTTCGGGCGATTTTTCCGAAATGCCATTTTCTTTCGATTTTGGAGGCTACAGATCACGGATTCGGCTCGAGGCTATTCTCCACCGATAATAAAGTCTATTGATCCTATTCTGCGCCGATGATTAAGTCAATTAAGCACCGAATTGGGCCAATATATTTTGGGATGCCATTTTCGTAATTATTTGAGCAATTTTTTTTTGAAAGGCCATTTCCCTTGGATTTTGAAGGATAAAGATGGTGGATTCGGCCTGAGGCTGTTCTTCAACGACGATTAAGTCCATCCAGGGCCAATTTGGGCGGATTTCTTCCGGGTCCATTTTTGGCAGACTCCAAAGGGGTACCATCACAGATTTCGGGCGATTTTTCCGAAATGCCATTTTCTTTCGATTTTGGAGGCTACAGATCACAGATTCGGCTCGAGGCTATTCTCCACCGATAATAAAGTGTATTGATCCTATTCTGCGCCGATGATTAAGTCAATTAAGCACCGAATTGCGCCAATATATTTTGGGATGGCATTTTCGTAATTATTTGAGCAATTATTTTTGAAAGGCCATTTTCCTTCGATTTTGAAGGATAAAGATTATGGATTCGGCCTGAGGCTATTCTTCAACGACGATTAAGTCCAACCATAGCCAATTTGGGCGGATTTCTTCCGGATCCATTTTTGGCAGACACCAAAGGGGTACCATCACAGATTTCGGGCGTTTTTTCCGAAATGCCATTTTCTTTTGATTTTGGAGGCTACAAATCACGGATTTGGCTCGAGGCTATTGTCCATGGATAATAAAGTCTATTGATCCTATTCTGCGCCGATGATTAAGTCAATTAAGCACTGAATTGGGCCAATATATTTTGGGTTGGCATTTTCTTAATTATTTGAGCAATTTTTTTTGAAAGGTCATTTTCCTTGGATTTTGAAGGATAAAGATGGTGGATTCGGCCTGAGGCTATTCTTCAACAACGATTAAGTCCATCCACGGCCAATTTGGGCGGATTTCTTCCGAGTCCATTTTTGGCAGACTCCAAAGGGGTACCATCACAGATTTCTGGCGATTTTTCCTAAATGCCATTTTCTTTCGATTCTGGAGGCTACAGATCACGGATTCGGCTCGAGGCTATACTCCACCGATAATAAAGTCTATTGATCCTATTCTGCGCCGATGATTAAGTCAATTAAGCACCGAATTGGGCCAATATATTTTGGGATGGCATTTTCGTAATTATTTGAGAAATTTTTTTGAAAGGCCATTTACCTTGGATATTGGAGGATAAAGATGATGGATTCGGCCTGAGGCGATTCTTCAACCACGATTAAGTCCATCCAGGGCAAATTTGGGCGGATTTCTTCCAGGTCCATTTTTGGCAGACTCCAAAGGGGTACCATCACAGATTTGGGGCGATTTTTCCGAAATGTCATTTTCTTTCGATTTTGGAGGCTACAGATCACGTATGTGGCTCGAGGCTATTCTCCATCGATAATAAAGTCTATTGATCATATTCTGCGCTGATGATTAAGTTAACTAAGCACCGAATTGGGCCAATATATTTTGGGATGGCTTTTTTGTAATTATTTGAGCAATTTTTTTTGAAAGGCCATTTTCCTTGGATTTTGAAGGATAAAGATGGTGGATTCGGCCTCAGACTATTCTTCAACAACGATTAAGTCCATCCACGGCCAATTTGGGCGGATTTCTTCCGAGTCCATTTTTGGCAGACTCCAAAGGGGTACCATCACAGATTTCTGACGATTTTTCCGAAATGCCATTTTTCGATTTTGGAGGCTACAAATCACGGATTTGGCTCGAGGCTATTCTCCACGGATAATAAAGTCTATTGATCCTATTTTGCGCCGATGATTAAGTCAATTCAGCACCGAATTGGGCCTATATATTTTGGGATGGAATTTTCGTAATTATTTGAGCAATTTTTTTTTTGAAAGGCCATTTTCCTTGAATTTTGAAGGATAAAGATGGTGGATTGAGCCTGAGGCTATTCTTCAACGACGATTAAGTCCATCCACGGCCAATTTGGGCGGATTTCTTGCGGGTCCATTTTTGGCAGACTCCAAAGGGCTACCATCACAGATTTCGCGCGATTTTTCCGAAATCCCATTTTCTTTCGATTTTGGAGGCTACAGATCACGGATTCGGCTCGGGGCTATTCTCCACCGATATTAAAGTCTATTGATCCTATTCTGCGTCGATGATTAAGTCAATTTAGCACCGAATTGGGCCAATATATTTTGCGATGGCATTTTCGTAATTATTTTAGCAATTTTTTTTTTAAAGGCCATTTTCCTTTGATTTTGAGGCTATTCTTCAACGACGATTAAGTCCATCCAGGGCCAATTTCGGCGGATTTCTTTTGGGTCTATTTTTGGTAGACTCCAAAGGGGTACCATCACATATTTCGGGTGATTTTTCCGAAATGTCATTTTCTTTCCATTTTGGAGGCTACAGATCACGGATTCGGCTCTAGGCTATTCTCCATCGATAATAAAGTCTATTGATCCTATTCTGCACCGATGATTACGTCAATTAAGCACCGAATTGGGCCAATATATTTTGGAATGGCATTTTCGTAATTATTTGAGCAATTTTTTTTGAAAGGTCATTTTCCTTGGATTTTGAAGGATAAAGATGGTGGATTCGGCCTGAGGCTATTCTTCAATAACGATTAAGTCCATCCACGGCCAATTTGGGCGGATTTCTTCCGAGTCCATTTTTGGCAGACTCCAAAGGGGTACCATCACAGATTTTGGGCGATTTTTCCTAAATGCCATTTTCTTTCGATTCTGGAGGCTACAGATCACAGATTCTGCTCGAGGCTATACTCCACCGATAATAAAGTCTATTGATCCTATTCTGCGCCGATGATTAAGTCAATTAAGCACCGAATTGGGCCAATATATTTTGGGATGGCATTTTCGTAATTATTTGAGCAATTTTTTTTGAAAGGCCATTTTCTTGGATTTTGAAGGATAAAGATGGTGGATTCGACCTGAGGCTATTCTTCAACGACGATTAAGTCCATCCAGGGCAAATTTGGCGGATTTATTCCGGGTACATTTTTGGCAGACTCCAAAGGGGTACTATCACAGATTTCCGACGATTTTTCCGAAAAGCCATTTTCTTTCGATTTTGGAGGCTACAGATCACGGATTCGGCCCGAGGCTATTCTCCACCGATAATAAAGTGTATTGATCCTATTCTGCGCCGATGATTAAGTCAATTAAGCACCGAATTGCGCCAATATATTTTGGGATGGCATTTTCGTAATTATTTGAGCAATTATTTTTGAAAGGCCATTTTCCTTCGATTTTGAAGGATAAAGATTATGGATTCGGCCTGAGGCTATTCTTCAACGACGATTAAGTCCATCCAGGGCCAATTTGGGCGGATTTCTTCCGGGTCCATTTTTGGCAGACTCCAAAGGGGTACCATCACAGATTTCGGGCGATTTTTCCGAAATGCCATTTTCTATCGATTTTGGAGGCTACAGATCACGTATGTGGCTCGAGGCTATTCTCCACCGATAATAAAGTCTATTGATCCTATTCTGCGCCGATGATTAAGTCAATTAAGCACCGAATTGGGCCAATATATTTTGGGATGGCATTTTCGTAATTATTTGAGCAAGTTTTTTTGAAAGGCCATTTTCCTTTGATTTTGAAGGATAAAGATGGTAGCTTCGGCCTCAGAGTATTCTTCAACAACGATTAAGTTCATCCACGGCCAATTTGGGCGGATTTCTTCCGAGTCCATTTTTGGCAGACTCCAAAGGGGTACCATCACAGATTTCTGACGATTTTTCCGAAATGCCATTTTTCGATTTTGGAGGCTACAAATCACAGATTTGGCTCGAGGCTATTCTCCACGGATAATAAAGTCTATTGATCCTATTTTGCGCCGATGATTAAGTCAATTCAGCACCGAATTGGGCCTATATATTTTGGGATGGCATTTTCGTAATTATTTGAGCAATTTTTTTTGAAAGGCCATTTTCCTTTGATTTTGAACGATAAAGATGGTAGATTCGGCCTCAGACTATTCTTCAACAACGATTAAGTCCATCCAGGGCCAATTTGGGCGGATTTCTTCCGAGTCCATTTTTGGCAGACTCCAAAGGGGTACCATCAAAGATTTCTGACGATTTTTCCGAAATGCCATTTTTCGATTTTGGAGGCTACAAATCACGGATTTGGCTCGAGGCTATTCTCCACGGATAATAAAGTCTATTGATCCTATTTTGCGCGGATGATTAAGTCAATTCACCACCGAATTGGGCCTATATATTTTGGGATGGAATTTTCGTAATTATTTGAGCAATTTTTATTGAAAGGCCATTTTCCTTGGATTTTGAAGGATAAAGATGGTGGATTGAGCTTGAGGCTATTCTTCAACGACGA